TCAGCTGTAAATACTTAAATTTGACAGTTCAAAAAGCAGAGGTTAAGAGGTACAGGTTCTGCTCCCAAGAGATTCTTTATACAAACAAACATTTCAAAATAAAGATAAACAATCTGATTGCAGATATAAAGGTGTTTGTTAATACTGTAATGTCATTTGTTATTTATTTAGTACTAGCATTTACCCGGCGCGCGTTGCTGCGCTAACAAAATACATCTGTCTGTGTGAAATAGTATATTTCGTACCAAGGGCCGAAAATGAGGTTTTGCCGGCTCGAGATAGTTTTTAAGTTCGAGACGAAGTCGAGAACTTAAATCGATCGAGAGCTGCAAAACCATTTCGGTCCGTGGTACGAACGCTATTTTTCACCACACTATACCCTATTACCACTATTCACCACTATAATAATGAACACTGATCGTCGACACAACTACAACTTTAAGGTTAAGAAATAATTTGAGGAATCAGCAAAAATATAAATAAACAGTTGCTAGGCAACGGTGACAATAACACAATTCTATATTGCAATGCTATGGATTTTGATTGTGTATTTAAAACGCATTTATGTTCTAAGTAAGTAAGCGGACAGCTGATTTTGCGGCCCCGGCCTGTAAAAACCTGCTCGGTCCCCAAATTGGCGACAGCTGGCATGGCCAGCAAAACGTAACTTTCAGCCACCAATTAACGTATGTAATACAGCCAAAAACATCATAGTGTGGTGAAAAGTATGTTTTTTTCTACATTTAAATCGACGATAGTCAGGGATTGCCCTAGTGCCTTATAATTCAAGTTAGTTAATTCAGTTAATTAGTTAATTCAACTAACTGAAACACAGCTTCGGTGGAATAAAGTTTTGCATTAGTATTATTGGAGTTTTTTCTTTTAATGACAGTAATGTGGTGGGTTAATGACAAATTGAGAGGCATTTGAATACCCGTGATAGCACGCACGATTATTATTCACTTAATAATTTATGTTAGATTGTGTGGGTATAGAACGAAAGATAAAAATATTAAGGCATTGTCATCCCTTTTATTGTTTATAATGCATGATAAAGGTTTTTAGGGTTTTAATATTTAACATTGGAGAATTTAAACGTTGTTGAGTGCACAGGTGTGCTGTGATTGGGGTTTAATACATTTGGACTTATTAAAAAGTAAAATAGTTTTCTGTGCTGCACTCTGTAGAAACACTGTGGCACTATTTCAAATCATGACTAATGCAATGCTAATACAGAATGTTGTGATTATTCAAACCTACAAAACAGTTGGTGAAAATAAACATCTAAGGTAAACGCACCAGTAGCTGACAGTATAAGAAACTATACGCACTTAATAATCCGTGGTTTTGAATAAATAGGAACTAAAGAGATATTACGGATTTTATGTTATTCTAAATTTAGTGTAGTTTTCAAATTTGTCATACAAAAAGGGTTTTTTTAATATATTTTATAACATTTTTAAACTTAATTCAACCTTTGTACGTGTTCCAGTGCCTGACAGTGAAAAAAGTGCTTGTACCAGTAGCTGACAGTCAGTTGTCCCAGTAGCTGACACTGGAACTATACATGTACTAGCTGCTAAACCTAAGGGTTTTATAATTTATAAGACGAATAAAATCTAACTTAATAATGAAATTATAAAATCATGTAAAACGTTATTAAGAAAATTTATTTTACATATTTTAAAATAAAAAATATTTACATTAAAAAAATATATATATTTTTTATTTATATTAAAAACATATATACATTTTTTTAGATAATTTGGCTTATTAATTAAAAAATTAAAATCATTTTATAAAAATGTGAGATCACATAAATTATAAATAGCATGCAAATTTCGATGGGTAAAACCAATTTAATATTGTGCAAGTAGCAAATATCCCCTGTCAGCTATTGGAACTTGTATGGCTTTTGTGTACCAAAGCCTGACATTGATATAATTTTTAATCCAAAACCCCTAACACCCCAATTTTATCATGAAATTGTCAACAAAGGTATAATTGATAAAAATAATGAGCCTAATCATTAATACTATTTAAGAAATTTAGCGAAATGACTAAAAACCAAACTTACCTTCTTAACAATTTCATTAAGGGAATCGACTAAATGTGATGTGTACAGACAGGGTCGCTTTCAAACCACCACCATTCAGCGAGTATGGGCTAAATTTCACTGATTTTTTTGTAAACAAATCAAGAATAAACATATGTTCTTCTAACAATGCAATCATGTGTAAATATTTTTAAGAGACCACATTATAATGTAAAGAAACTCAAACTGTCAGCTTCTGGAGCACTGTCAGCTACTGGTGCATTTACCTTACTTTTAAATTATATTTATTTGTAAATATTGTAGATCAAAAAGTCTGACATTGGCCCACTTAAAACCCTCTAGGGCAGAGCCCTTTTGACGGATCTGCACCAAACTTCACTCGAACCATTCTTGAAAGATGCTTAACAATGCCTGAAAGTTTTATTACAATCTGTCGAGCGGTTTCGGAGTCCATAACGTATATACACACACACACATAGTTCCTCTTTTATAGATATCCTACTAATATTATAAATGAGAAAGTTTGGATGTATGGATGTATGGATGTATGGATGTATGGATGTATGTTTGTGACAAGTGAACGCGAAAAATACTGGTCGGATTGGGCTGAAATTTGGCATGATGATAGCTCACATTCCCGATTAACATATAGGCATATTCTTATTTCAAAAGTCCTTTCGGGCTCCGCCCCAGTGGCTCTGGAGTTTCCCATGTTAACCTTATGAGAAATGGAATTATTGAATCTTAACAGCTGTTTCAACTAAACAAGTTGGTTCTGTTCTATGATGTTCAATAGCATTAAAGTTACAAGGATTACCAACAGGGTGCAGCACTATTATTTCTTTTACATTTATGACAACCGCTAATTTGCAACCAAAAGGTGAGTGAGCGTAGCGAACGAACTTCAACCTGGAGGCGAGTTAGCGTAGCGAACGAGCTAACCTGAAGGCAAGTGAGCGCAGCGAACGAGCTCCAACCTAAAGGTGAGTGAGCGTAGCGAACAAACTTCAACCAGGACGTGATTGAGCCATGCGAACGAGATAATCTTGAAAATTAAGAAGTTAAAAGGGGCAAAGCCCGCGGGTTACAGCTAGTCCTACTAATATTATAAATGAGAAAGTTTGGATGTATGGATGTATGGATGTATGGATGTATGTTTGTGACAAGTGAACGCGAAAAATACTGGTCGGATTGGGCTGAAATTTGGCATGATGATAGCTCACATTCCCGATTAACATATAGGCATATTCTTATTTCAAAAGTCCTTTCGGGCTCCGCCCCAGTGGCTCTGGAGTTTCCCATGTTAACCTTATGAGAAATGGAATTATTGAATCTTAACAGCTGTTTCAACTAAACAAGTTGGTTCTGTTCTATGATGTTCAATAGCATTAAAGTTACAAGGATTACCAACAGGGTGCAGCACTATTATTTCTTTTACATTTATGACAACCGCTAATTTGCAACCAAAAGGTGAGTGAGCGTAGCGAACGAACTTCAACCTGGAGGCGAGTTAGCGTAGCGAACGAGCTAACCTGAAGGCAAGTGAGCGCAGCGAACGAGCTCCAACCTAAAGGTGAGTGAGCGTAGCGAACAAACTTCAACCAGGACGTGATTGAGCCATGCGAACGAGATAATCTTGAAAATTAAGAAGTTAAAAGGGGCAAAGCCCGCGGGTTACAGCTAGTAGATTCTATAAAGTAAACAATAAATTAAATAAATTGATATACAGTATTTATATTTAGTAGGTAGGCCATACATTCAATCTAATACATAATTATATGAAAAGAAACTCAAATAAACCTTAGATTTCCCACATGCCTCTGTCTTAATCTGATATAGATGCATGAAATAGATTTAACATTCACACACATTAAAAACTAAAAAGTAGAAAATAATTCATAAATAAAAAACTTTTTTAAACAAAACGTTTTTTAAATGCACTAAAAAGTAGAAAATATTTTATAAATATGTGGAGAGTATAAATACTTGTAAGATTTAAAACGAAAAACGTTGGGTGCATGCAATTGATAATAATACATTAGTTCAATAGGTGAAAGGTAATTGTAAATTATCTATTGTATGCACCCCAAGTTTTTAGTTTTAATCTTACAAGTATTTATACTCTCCACATATTTATAAATTATTTTCAACTTTTTAGTGCATTTAAAAACGTTTTTTTTTTAAGTTTTTAATTTATAAATTATTAATATATCATTTTCAAAAATTAAAACTAGAAAGTATAAGGCTAGAAACATGTGGATATGTAATTCACTAATAGAAGAAAAGAAAGAAATATCAGAGCTGGCACTAACTTATAGATCAAACAAAAATAGCCCCAAGGGAGTTTACCTTATTTCTCTTTTGATGGCTTATCTATATACAGACCAAGACCTTTCTTTAGACACCTCTACCAAGTTTATACGCCCAGCCGTTCTCTCAAATTAGTTGCCACATGAAAAAAACGTAGTATATTAAATATAGTAAAAATTCTATATCAATTATTTAAGATGGGGACGCCCCTATGTGGTATTTTAACCCAAATATGAGTGAAAGATGAGTGTAGGATGAGTGGCGCGATCGTGTAGTCTTGTTAGTGACTAAGGCCGACATGTTCCTTAGACACAGCTGTTAATTAATAGCCCATCTAACTACCTACTAGTAGCCAATGGCAACTAAGGGACCTACAGTTTATAGAGAATCTATCAATTGGCGGGTATTTCTTGGCTAGTAATTACGATACTTGGCACGATACAATGGCAGAATATAGTGGATGCTCTAAAATTAAAACTAGATTGGAGAAAAATTGTTTTTAATGATACACTAACTATCAAACACATTGTTATAAATATTAGCTTTATCTAGAAAACTTCAGACAAATGAGATAAGATATTGAATTATCGTTCAATTTTTGTGATATTTGCTTCCCTTTGCTTTGTTACCAAAACATAATGAGCATATTTCATGACACACACTAACTGACTTTATAGATTGAGGTTTGATATTTATCCAACAAATGTGAAAAAGTTGAAAAGGTGAGACGTAGAAATAATAAAACTCAGGAGATTAAAACTCTCTTTGCTTAAACTAAACCCAATTATTTGTATAAGTTTATAGCTTTTGATGTTTTTTCTTTCAGTAAATCATTGAAAACTATTACAATTTTCTTTTTCTTTTGTAATATTATAAATACAATCTTTATATATTTGAACTAATTTTGTCAGTGACAAATAAAGTTGGGATTTGTTAACACATTAATCACAGCCATAACGTTAGGTGTGAGACATAACAGCTTGATAATAGTTGACACAATTTAACACACAGAATAAAGATATAGATAGCCATCAGGTTTTAACACTTAAAATCCATAACACATATAACAGTTAAAAAGTTCACAGAATCTATTTCTGTAGACATTTAGCTTGATTGCCAGCTGGGAATTCATTTTGCAGTAGTTGGTACAACTCCTGTTGGAGGGCATTTTGGTAGTGAAGGTATAGACGAGCCGTAGTCTAGCATTGGAAAGCGCTTTCCGCATGTCGGTCGTGTACATGCATTGAAAAATGGAATACGAACAGCGTGCGAACATTAAGTTCTGTATTTTACTTAAAAAACCACTCAGTAAAACTCTTGAGTTGTTGATTCAAGCTTATATAGAAGAGGCAATGAAGAAAAGTCAAGTTTATGAGTGGCACAAACAATGAGCGAGTGTAATTTAATCGATTGTTAATTTCCGATTTTCAAGAACAACCTGCAGTACTCACTCAATGTTTACGTCATTGACTGCTGTTGAAGGGCGTCCACTACGAGAGTTATCGTCAATGCTTTGACGGCCTTCACAAAACCATCTGCACCACTCATAAACTTGACTTTTCTTCATTGCCTCTTCTTTATAAGCTTGAATTAACAACTCAAGATGTTTTACAGGGTGTTCTTTTTAAGTAAAACACAGAACTTAATGTTCGCTTGCTGTTCCTGAAATGCCATTTTTCAATGCATGTGCCAACAATGTAGACTTCCAGGTACACAAAAAGCGCTTTCCAATGCTAGACTACAGCTCGTCAGCTATACTATCACTACCGAAATTCATTCTGGGAACTTTTTGACTGAAGTATCAATTTATTTTGTCTTATAACGTTGATACAGTAAACGTCAATTCAACAACGTTATAAACGTTATATATTATATATTATAAAACGTTTGTATATAAAAACAAAATTTGGTTTGGCTATGGATTTCAAAATCGGCTCCTTAACTATTGTGTAACTAGTGTGTGAAGTGGCACTTTGCTGCAAACAAGAGAAATCTTTATGCACGAGCCGCAGGTGAGTGTGAAAATTTTCTCCAGTGCAGCAAAGGTACTTCGCACTCGTGTTACACGTTATATTTTTCCTACAGTAACGCATATATATAATTGGTTTTTCAAACACTATACAACACGTTTATAGGTTAAATCCAAGCGATGAACGAAATGGGAAACGCTGCACGAGCTGATCGTAGTCGTAGATCTTTAAGTTTTGTCAACTTATTTTCAAGCGTACTCGGATTACGTGCATAATAAAAGCACGCTGTTTTGTGTTGTTTGGTTGGAATACTGGAGTGTGGCAAAAGTAAAAAGAGTGTGGCAAGTAAATGCAGCAATTAGCATGAAAAGAGTTCCAGGTTGTTAAAACACACAAACATTTCACAACTTGATATTTCAGCCTACAAGGGGCCTGGGACTCTTTTCTAAGATAAGTTAGCCCATTCCTCCTTCCTTCCATTCCTTCTTCCTGAATGTCCAATTCTAAGCCAATTGAGATGAAGAAAATTTCCAAAAAACCATCTTCAGTTAAGAGTTTGTATTCATAAACTGTTTTAGCAAACTCATACCATTGACAATAGTCAAAGCTTATACTATAAATGCATAATGTATTCATTACTAGAAAATTAGATATCCTGATCTGTTTCCAGGCAAAAAAAAAAAAAAAATCAAATCGTATTTATTTACGGTAATTCACTAAAACAGTTAGATGGAGTCTGATCCTGAAGCAAAGAGTCAGCCTGAAGGAAATAACGATGGATTCTCCTTTCCGCCACACCCCACTGATCCAGATGGGGTGGTAGTGCCACCCCCAACCAAAGAGCAAATGGCACAGGGGAGAATACGGTGTAAGGTAATTCCCAGTGTGGCACTGAATTGCAATAATTATATTTTTTTTTATAAGACTTTCCCAAAAATTAAAGGTTGTTAGTGTGTGTATAACTAAATTTGGAATTACAAGTATAATAGGAAACGGACTAGCACCAAGGGTGATCCTAGCTTTACATTTTTCATATGGTTGCCGTTGTCATTTGATTAATTATTAAATAATTGGGGTCGCCGGAATGGCATCCTCCGGAAACGTCCCCCCCCCCCCAGGCTAAACGAGACGTCACAAAACCAGACAACCAGCTGGTACTAAATCTATGTCTTAACTCAAACAAGTAGAAACAGAAAGGCATCCCCCTGCAAGGCATCCTCTATGTACACCCCATAAGCGTATCCCCCTGAAACGCTACCCCTAGTAGGTCTGGGCTGCTCGGCAGCCTATATACACCCCGGAATTGTATCCCTGTGAAACGCTGCTCCTGGTAGGGCTGGGCTGCTCGGCAGCCTACCTGCTTACCGTCCTTCCCAGGCCATTGTTCTGAAGGTCGGCCTCTTGTTCATTATTATTGTCGCTTGGACATCCACTTTTAGCTGAGTACTACCACAGAAAAAATAGCAGACACTGTGGTGGAATATCAATCAGTAGATTTAGATATATGAAATTCTAAGACAACTAAATGATACGAGCATAGTTTGACTTTAAAAATTAATATTTTATACTTAATCCATAAAAACCCACAAACGATAATGCGTAAAGTATATATTTTGATGTTGTATTAAATAGTAGCTATACTTATCAACATCAGTAAACTTACCTTACACGCTATAGTAATTGTTTAGCAACATATTTGATAAATAATATAATAATATCTGAATGTATTTAAAAAAAATGGCATGGGGAGACCTTTCCAGGGTGTGTCTTTTGAAAACGATCGGGGGTTAACGTTTCCGGTTAACATCAATTGCAATTGGAATATCTGGTAATTGTATATGCTAAGTGACTATAATTATCTACATAATACACAAACCCAATAATAACTCTTCATATCGACGAGTGCATGCTGCAACTGAACTTGAGTGTCCGCAGCCGGAATTGTCTCCACCCGGCCTCTGACGTCAATGTGACGTAGGGGGGAGATGTTGCCGGGGGAGGCCTTTCCGCATCCCCAATAATAGTACTGGATTCATGAACTGTTGTGTATTTCTATTTAAAAAAAATAAAAATAAAAATAAAAAAAATAACACAAAGCATATGTTGAACAATTATCATATGTTATTAACTACTACTGTCATCCCCCGCCCCTTCAAAAGTCAAAATTATTTTGTTTTCTTCTAATCCTTTCCCCTTGTCTTACAACAGGAGATGAATCATTGTTATGTTCTTCTGACCTGGACGATTGACCTTTATTCAGATCATGGGAGAATATGAATGACTTGTTTCTTCTTAGGAACCATGAGTTTATTCGGTATTCTCGTCCATCACCAGTCTGAATTTTGTACGATCAAGGTTCAGGACCAACTTGAACAATTTTTGCTCTATGCCAACACTTTGGTTTGAATCTGAGAAGCACTGGTTCATCGAGTATAAACTGAACAGGCTTTGTCTTCCTCATATCACCGTACAGTTTCTATTGTCTTTTATTTTTTTCTAGCTGTTTTGTAATATTCTTTATGAGCTTCTTCTTTTCCGAATAAGATGGTTGGTCGTAGATGGAAGAAGAGTCTTTGTCCTCCGACTCATCAGCTGTTGAACCGGGGAACCTAGGTTAACTCTTGGTATGTTACGGTCATGAAGAAATGCAAGATAAATACTAGACTGCTCTTCTTGACACTTTACAATTACGTTTTCCCCTTCTTGGACATACTTCTCCGCTAGCCCGTTGTTCTTGGAAAATGAGGAGATGAAATTCTATGATTAAATTTCCACATGGATATGAAATTAGTAAATTCTATAGAAGCAAAGCATGGTCCTCCATCAGTTCTTAGTTCATCTGGAATACTATGACTTGCAAAGTACTTTTTGAGGTGTTTTCAATGTGTGTAATAACAGTGCAATGCTACTTTTGTTCCTTAGATTTTCACACTCAAAATATCCTGAGTAACTATCAGCATCTACTAAGAAATCATTACCCCTACATTCAAAAAAATCAGCTCCGATGAACTGCCATGGCCTCACTGGTACTGCCTATTTATAATGCAAAGGTGTGTTGCTGTTATTATTGTTTATTTTTACAATTGGTTTTAGAAAACGTGGGAGTCTAAAATAATAAAATTGTATAATGAAAAGGTAACAAGAGTAACTCTGTAGAAATAGTCATCAGCGCCGTCCTTAGGGTGGAGCGAGTGGGAAAAACCTCGCGCAGCGAGGCCTTACTATCGCTAATAATAAGTTAAAGATTTGGAATTAAAATAATAAAATGGACAGACAGATACATGTCCCTAAAATATGTCTGATTTATTATGAATTATTTCAATTATTGTATTGATTTAAAAAAAATCCCTACAAACGACTTTTAAAACACAATAGAATACAAAACATCGTTTGACAGCGTCGGCGGCGGGATGATGGAACCCGAGCCTCGCAGCAGACACCGAGCCACCCCGGTGAGTGTGAGTGTGAGCGAGTCGTACTTATACCAATGAATACACAAACTATAGTTTGTGTATTCATTGCTTATACGCTTACTCTTACTGACGCCTGGCGGCATTCCAACACCACGCAGCCACAGCCCCATGGCACCACCGACGAACCTGTCATTTGGTGGGGGATGGTAAAGGGGATCATGTCACGTGATCGCCTTCCTACAGGTGTAAATATTTACGGGATGGATAATCAGAGAAGACTGACTGTAAGTAGTCGTAATAAACATAAGCCTATAACAATCTCCATTCATACTTGGCTTAAAATACCTACTTTGTATGGTCACCATTTCATTGAAAAGTATTAAAGTAAGTACGGTAAGTAATGTTTGTCATTAAAGTAATTAAGGTAATACTGTGAATCAATTCCACAGTTTGTAATGATATTACCTCTTCTAATTTATTAAAAACTCATTGACAATTATATGTAATATTTTTTACCTCTAAAACCCTCTTCATAGACCAACTGCCGAAAACACAATAAACCTAACTTGACAAAAAGGAAGTAACAAACAAGATAGCCTATGAACATTTACTATTTACAAAGTGACGGGACGACAATCCATAATGAAGAGAAGTGTTCATTTTTTTTATTAATGATTGTAAAGAATTTCGTGTGCAATATTTATGATATCCACTTTGGAATTCGAACAATAATATGTGCAATTAGCAATTCACGCCCATTTTCAGAGTGTAAAAGATAAAGATTCATTTTTTTGTCAAAGTACTTAAAATGACGACTTTGCAAGTATAATTTTACAAAAATTTCCGGGGAGGACCCCCTTTCCGCTGGGGGGTACTCCATACCCCCAGGCCCCCCCTTGGGCGTAGTAAAACAAGGCCTTGCAAATTTGTATTGCCCCAGGCCTCGCATTTTATAAAGACGGCTCTGATAGTCATTGCCATACAATTTCATCAACATGCACTACTTGTTTAAAAACAAGTGCTAAAGCACTTTTTGCTCAATTAACCAAATCATAATGTAGACAACACATTAGGGAATTGTTTGGACTTTGTTCAAAATGACTATTAATTAAAAAATAGTCGTTACACATCATTACCGTGCTGCAGCTTCCATCGCAAACATTTTTAGAGCTGACAAAATATTAAACTGATAAATAATTTATTTTTCCATAAGAATTGTATTGCCTGAGCCAAGGCCCCGTCGTCATTGAAGAGCGACGCGACCGACAGTCGTTGCAAAACCATGGACTGAGGCATGTTTTTGTATTTAGCAAACCTACTCATTATCCCCTTATGACACATAAATCAGATTTAGTGTTTTGTCCTTTTACAGAATGATACATATTAATCCAGATAAATCAACTACAGTAATATGGTACTGTAAAGACTTACGGTGATGTACTGTTATGGTACATCAATAAAAATGTACATATACCAAATACATACAAAAACAAAATTTACATATTATTTAATTCAAATAAAACTTTAAAATAAAAGCCGAACTAGTGCAGGTGGCATTATATGTATCTGACAGACGTCTCAAAATCCTGGCAGCTTCACCTGACTCACGTGATCGCACTCACTAGTCACTAGATAACATATACAGTAGTAGTATGGCAGTGCAAGGGGGTGCTATGGTTGCTGAAGGTGTGGGGGTTTTCTATGAAGGCTTTATTATTGAAAACTGTACTTTAAATTGTTTACTTTTCAAAAAATAAAAGTTTATATTCATATATATAGATTTATATATATATGTCCATGAACGGTCCTACATCAACCGTTACTAGCAACAGTCGTTGGAGTTAAATACAACGGTCTCTAGTAAAATAATGGTTATGAAATCCATACACCACTTACTCACAATATTAATGGTTGGCTACAGATTAAGCACATAACATAAGAATCACACACTTAACATATAACCCAGTAACCTAACGCATTTTACCTTGCATGAAATAGGGTAGTAGGTTTCTTTTTTTATGTTGTTTGTAATAGTGCCAAGATGCTAAATCCAAATTTTCGACCTCGGCGACTTTCCGGATCACCTCCAAAAAGCTTAAAAATTGGCGGAATTTCGCACTATTTTTACGTTTGTCCGATTTTGACCCTGAAGTATCACTTTTTCATACAGAACAACCATAACCATTTTTAAACTACATTAAATTACCTATCATTTAAGACCAAAATGGGTATTACAGGCCTAATGGTTTACAAGATATGACTCCGCAAACAACGGCTAAAATTACCAAATTTAGATTTTTTTTAAGTTTGGCTAACGTTAACCCTAAAGCATAATTTTATGATTATTTTTCATTAAAACAACCATAATTACTTTAAAACTACATTAAATTACTCACAATTTAAGACCAAATTGGTGATTATAGGCCTAACACATTGAGAGATATGCCTCTTCAAGGTTCATAAAATCAAATGCTTGTATTTAAAGTTTCAAGCTATTAAATTTTCTCAAGTTTTATAAAAGAACCATAATAAGAAATAAACTAATTTATTTCATCTCAAGAACAGATTGTGTCATAACATTTTTTTATGGAAATAAATCTATTGTATCTATCTACATAAACACACACGTACATTGTTACAATAAATGGTTCTCGGGAATAGAACACAGGCCTGTGACGAACGGTATTTATTTAACTGTATCGCCGCGGGAGCAGGTTGGTGGAGAACACTGAGGGCGACTGCGTCTGTGATTAGATGATCCTTGTACCTTTGGACATGGACTCGTCCTGTAGGGGTATCAGTTGAAGATTGACTTGTATGACTAACTTGAGACGTTTGGATGTGTGAACTATAATTTAGTTTTTCATTCAATTGAAACAAGGGTAATGGTGAAAATCCATGTGTAAAGAAGTGTTTTAATTCTTCATCCGACTGCATCAGAACGCATAGCCTGTGGAACAGTTTGAGGGGGTCAATAGTCACCTTTATATTGCCTACAGTCACAGTATTGACATCAGAAGAAAGAGATACTACTTTATTCATCCTTTTGTATCTGACTTATTCATATTTTTCTCATAAAACTCAACATCGTTTCATTGCCAATATCTCTAGCCATATGACAGTTGACAGTTTCCTTCCAACAATTCCACTGCTTAAGAACATTATAACACCAGTATTAGGGAGGGTGACGAGGTAACCAGTCACACAGCTTCTCTGTATTCACTTCAACTCGAGTGACTCTAGAGGGTCTCATTTCTACATGCTACTCAGTTGTATGTGCCTTAACATTGCAGTAGGCCTACTCCTCAACCTCAGCACTTTAATTCTACAGATAAATTATATCATTCCTACTGTCCATCGGGTGAGCACGGTGTCAGCTATACCACGGTCCCGAGTCAAACCTACATAGCTTTTCATTAGGCAAATGAGCACCTGCTCTATAGTCATGTCCGTCCAAACACCCGTCTAGAACTTTTCCGAACGCTCAATGAATGGTGAAGAACCCGTTGGTGGTAAATAACTGGTGTGTATTTAAATCCATCTTGTTTCCTAATTTCAACATATCCTGCAGGTACAGATTCAAAAACTTGGCATAAAAGAAGTAATATGTAGCATGGCAGAACGATAGCAATGTTACAACCTGTTTTCACTGTTGCCTCTTCATTCTTTATACCTAAATTCCTCTTTATAGTATAAACATTTTAGTTACAACAGATTTTTTCCATAAAAAAAAGAAAACTTAAAATACGTTGTTGAAATGAAATATTTTTTTTTACATTCTTATTATGGTTCTTTAATAAAATTTTACCAAATTGAATAACTTGAATCTTAAAGTACAAACATTTATGGAAGATTTTATGAACCTTGAAGAGGCATATCTCTAAATGTGTTAGGCCTATAATAACCATTTTGGTCTTAAATTGTGAGTAATTTAATGTAGTTTTAAAGTAATTATGGAAGTTTTAATGAAAAATAATGATAAAATTATGCTTTAGGGTTAACGTTAGCCAAACTTAAAAAAAAAAAAATCTAAATTTGGTAATTTTAGCCGTTGTTTGCGGAGTCATATCTTGAAAACTATTAGGCCTGTAATACCCATTTTGGTCTTAAATGATAGGTAATTTAATGTACTTTAAAAATGGTTTATTGTTGTTCTGTATGAAAAAGTGATGCTTCAGGGTCAAAATCGGACAAACGTAAAAATAGTGCAATATTCCGCCGATTTTAAAGCTTTTTGGAGGTGATCCGGAAGGTTGCCGAGGTCGAAAATTTGGATTTAGCATCTCGGCACTATTACAAACAACATAAAAAATAAACCTACTACCCTATTTCATGCAAGATAGACCCTGATTTTTATAAGGTTACTGGGTTAATATGGAACACACTTTAAACACAATAGTGCAGTAGAAAAAGTATTGGAGGTGGAACTAATTGCAACATAAATTATTCCAGTTATATTAGAAATGGTAGATAATACACTGATTAAAAAAATACTAAAAATATACTTTTTTATTGCTAAGCAAAATACAGGTTTTTGGCCGCCATCTTTAAAAAAGTGTAAATATAATTTGTGTAAATGTAAAGTGTAAGTGTAATTTTATTTATTGTTAAAAAATCTTGTTTGGTATCAAATTATAGGAAATTTCATGCTGAAAAAAATTATGGTTGGATTTAAAATATACTGTTAACGGTGATGCACTATGGAAGAAAAAAGTGTGTTTAAAAACGTGGCATTTTAAAAAGTTTTTTTATTTAAAAACAATTTAATACTTTTAAAATTATTTTTTTTCATTTTTGACGCTTAAAACATAAAACTTCCCAATTTCTCTCCAAAAATGTTTAAAGAGCTTAAAAAAATAACTTAGTATATCAAATTGTTTTTGTACGGTTATGTAGCGGAGAAGTTAAAAAATGTAAATTTCAAATCCCCATGTTATTCTTATGGAGAATATTGTAAAATGTTGTAATTTGCTTGTTTATGGATATATTTTGATAAAACCAGTGGCGTAACAGAAGGGCCCGCAATGCGGGTGGGCCCG